AACCAACATTGCATATATATATATAAAAGCCACTTGCAACTTTCAAACACTAGTCTAGTTAAGTATCAACTTTATGAAACAAAGTTCAATTTTCCTCAGCCTTTTATGTTAATTCTTTATAAACACAATCACAAGACACTAGAAATATGCTCATTTTGCTTGACTGGACTCAATACTTGCCCAAGACTACTGTTTGAGTATGGACAGTCATCAGTTGATTTAAAAGAAGGTGTAATTTATGTTATAAGTGACATAATTCTGTGCCAAGGTTCCCTCTGAGTAACAAAAATACTTTTCTACTGTACTTTGAATATTTTAAAAACAGAATGTTAACATTAAAGTAGGTTGGATGAAATATTCTCTCTGCCACCTCCCAAAAGCAAAAGAAAACACTACACATACACATGAGGCTACTGAGAGATAATCTAATACTTCGACCATTCACAAAACTATATTTCCAATTATTCAAAAATACAGTGTAGTTTATCATTTGGTTTAAATGCACGTTAGTTTATTGATGAATCAAGTGAAAACAGAAGTTCGTCACTACACAAAGCATCTGGAAACAATAACTGATAGAACTGACAAGTGCTAGAAACCTCATTCTTTCCGTAGCAGGAAATACAAATCTACAGTAATTGTATCACCACTGAGGCAGGGGGAAAAAAACAAGAAAAATTAAGTTGCTGGGAAAGACAATAGGATGGCCTACTTACACATACTGCAGAAGCAATTTAATTTCCGTAGTAACCAAGTAAACTTTTTAGTGGGAGAGGTTCATATGATGCTGTACATCAACTATAACGAACTAAAAGATTGCGCATGCTTATGCCCAGCAAGTAAAAGCAGATGAAAAGCATGGGGAAAAATATAACACTACATGAAAACAACAGATAAATGTTACAAAGGAAATACAACATTTTCCATGTGAAGTGTTCAATTTTATTGGGGGAAAAAAATACCATGACTGAGGGCTTTAAAATTTGCTATTCTTACTTTAATAGAGACCTAAGATTATGGTCCCTTTACCCTAAAGACTGATATCACAACTACAGCCTGTAAATGCTGCTTAAGAATGAAAACTAAGTAAAGCAGTTGGAGCTGGAATCAGTTCCGCATTATTCCCAGCATGTGTTAAACTCTAGTCTTTCCTCTGTATGGAACAGCGTGTGGGAATAACACAAGGAAAAGAAGTCTCGTAATTTATTTCACCTAAAACCATATTCCCAAACTGCCTCTCACTGAATCACATCAAACCCCAAAGTCTAATTCTTGTAACCCAAACCTCTCTCCAAGAAAACACTCAGGCTATGCTTGCAGTCTGCTTCAAATGATACGAGAGAAAAATGGTCCACAAAATCAAATACATTGGTCTCTACTGCCCTCTATATCAACAAGAGACAGTGACAGGACACTACTTGTACAAAACATTAGCTTTGAAATATCAGGGGGAAAAACACACCATCCATTCCTACAAATATCAGATTCTTCCAGACAGCAGTAACATTTGAAGGAGAAGACCTAAAACCACCATATCTGGAATAGCATAATGGTGAACAAAGAATGATCATTTCAACATTCCAGACTGAACGTCAACAATTCGCTGTAAATTGTCACACTCTTAAAGCAAAAATTGTTCAACTTTATATAAAAACATTTTTAATGCAGTATTCATGTAACATATTTATGGGAAAAGTGTCAGTGACCACATTTGGCCTATTTCCATTACCTCACTTTTTGAGAAGGTTAAACATGGAAAAATATCTTCCCGATAAATTTTGTCCAAGAAAGGGCATGTTCTGTCCATAGTAGGCTCATCCTTCCAAGATCTAAATTCATTGTACAAAGACAGGTCAGCCTAGAACACAAAAATTCATGTATTTTATTACTGCAGTTACCACACTAGTGTCTACCATTTGCACATATCCACAGACAAATAACAAGCACTAAAAGTAAATGCTTTCCATTGCACTGTGAAAGAACGCTATCATGCCCCAGCTATGAACATCACCTTAAACCCACTTTCCTAAGACTGCAAATAAAAGCAAATCAAAACATATAATGTTCAAGACACAGAGGTAATACATTCACTGGTCACCACGCCACCACAGACAAGCTAATTACCTCTCTCCCCTATTTCCTAAGCTTCCAGGACAACTTTGGAAAACCTCAGAAAATAGCCTCCCAAAAAAATTTCTTCTCCAGGTATCTTCATTACAGTATTTTAGTCCTTCTCTATTTCTGTGAGTTACAGAAAAGCAGAGAAATCTACGGAAAACTGCAATCCTAGGTATCTTATACATTCACCCTGCAAGTGAATATAGCACTCTGATAGGCATTTAACACACTAAATACACTAATATAGGAAAATAGGAATTCAATATACAAATCCATTAAAACTATACTCTTCATTTTCAATCTTTATGCCCAAACCCTCTCCTACACCGTACTACAACAGGAAGACAAATATACTCACTGAGTGTGATTTATGAGCCACCTCCCCTAGTCAATGGAGAAATACTAAAACAACCCATCAAACCACTCCAGGAGAAAACATGCTCTGCGTTAGGAAGAGATGGTTTCTCTGCTTTGATGGTTTCTCTGCTTTGAAAGCACCTTCTTTTGTCATCTCCATGTTGAGATCACGTCAGCAGTGCGAAGGCGTTCAAGAGACCAGCACTAGATCGCTGTTAAAATCCACATTTTCATCACGGGAGAGCCTATCCCATGGGACAGCGACCCACTGACAGCTGGAGCACACCGAGGGACTCCCAGAGCACATCACCTGCTTTAGGGTTACTCAGGAAGGATTCTGTTCACAGGCACCACCTCTGCCCCAAGATGTGAACCAAGGTGAGTGGTGCGCCCGACACAAACTCCTAATCTAACGTAAAAGACAAATGCCAGTCCCCAACGGGACATGCGACACCATCCTCAGATTGGTTTTGACGTTCTGTCGACACGTGCTTCAGCGCCTTTCCCCTCCTGGGGATTTAACAACCAGTTGTTGTTTAATTGTACTTTCTTGTACTACAGCAGATCTATGCTCCTAAAACCTAAACCTAAAGCTACAGAAAGGGACATATGCTGCAGGCCAAAGATAAGCCAAGATGCAATTTCAAAATTTTGTACTGTTAGATAGAAATAATATGAGATGACGAAAGAGAGAAAATAACACATGCAAAAAAATAATTTATTCTTAATCCTATGAAAAAGATCAGTACGCTGCTTGGAAGTAAGCTCTTTCAGTCTCTCATTCTTTCCCCATGCATTACCTCTTCTCTGAGCTCCCAGCACTTTGCCATTGTTTTACATACATATTTTGGGGAGTTCTTTTGTCATTTTTGTTTTTTCTTGGAAAAGAATCTACAAAAATTAGACTGACAAATTTGTTTTCCATCAGACCTACTTGCATTACACTTAATTAAGCCAGTCCATAAATGTTCTGGTTGCTAAGCCACCAACCTCAGTGTACAACTGAAATTCAATAGGTGTAACTTGCTCCCTAAAGGAACATTTTCCATACCTTAAAAACCCATCTCAGGTCTTGCTTTAAAATGAATACAATTTTTTGGAAAAAAGGCCATTTGTGATTTGTACTATATGACTCTAGAAAGTAAGCTGCATTTCTTAACTTGGTTATTTTCTAGATTTAACTAAATTTCCCTCTGCAATTTATAAAGAAGCTGCCTTGAAAGAACTGCTCAGTGAACATAGCTTGATGCTCTTCCTTTTCAGTCTACACTGGTCCATGTCTATCTCCTCCTTCCCTTTACTTACGCTTTCACTACATCAAAGTTTTGATTACCTGCAACTAAATACACAGCCAACTGAAAAAAATTTAACTAGAAATATTACTAAAGTTCTCATTTTACAGTAAAATACAACATCAGAGAAATATTTCAGCTCTTTGAACACAATTGCATCAGCATTTATGCTGAGTGGATGCTACCTGCCTGCCTAAGATCCAGGCAGCTATTCAGCGTGCCTAATTCCTGTTAATGCCTAAATTAATTAGACATGTCTGCTCATCCCAGAGATTACTCCCATATGCTAAGAAGTACTTCTATGGGATATTGGCACCCTTCTGGCTCCACTGCAACTTAGGGCAGGCAGAGAGCCACTCTAATTCTGTCTACAGAATTCGACAGAGAAACCTGAGAGGTGACACGTATTTACACCCAGCTCCAACCAACATCTCAAAATCCAAAGCTCTGGGTGGTAAATTCTCCAGAAGGGTCCGGAGCTGTACCACACACCACGACGCCCCCGAGGGTACTCTCAGCCCCGCTTGTGAAGCTGAGTCACTCCAAATCAGACTCAACAACGTGCAAAGCATAACCTAACTGAGTGGCAAGGTCATTAAGCAAGAAAGGATGGGAACTACAGTTCTGCCCCAAGTCCGAAAGACAAACTGGAGAAGGCCTTTATTTTCTAGATTTGGAGTAAAAAGGTGTACCAATGCACTTACTGATCACTGGCAAAACAAAGTATAAAAATGGTCACTGTAAATCATATTAAAGATCCAGCTAGACTGTCACCCCCCTGACAACAGGCAGCAGTCAGAGAGCTGGCTGCAGAGGAGTATGAGAGGAAAGACAGTGACATGTCTTCATTTTACAGCCTCCCAACTTCTTGCAATCTGCAGTTAAAGCTTCCTGAACCAAATACCATATTCATCTTCTATATGACTTGACAAGTTTTTCTTTTGTCTCTCTGCATTTTGAACACATTTATAATCTTCCTACCTCATGACAAGGAGTTGTAAAGTTTCATTACATACTCATTGAAACTGATTTTCCTTCTAGCTTCCAAAGTTTTCGTATAACAGGAAATCATTCCTATTTGTTCACCATGCATCTTCCCCGAGTCACTTGTGATTGTATAGATTTTTGTTCTACCTCAAGTGTGTCTCTCTACACAGAAATACTTCCACAGGTTTGACCATCTATGTCACACTTCCTCATACTTTCATTATGTCCTTTCAAAGAAAAGTATCATAGCTGCATGCTCAGACACACACATTTAGTACACATTTATACAGCACTATAACATTTTTTGTTCTGCTATTTATTCCTTTCCTAACACCATCTAAGGGTCTGTGGGTCTTTGACCATCACCAAGTATGGAGATTATATTTTCAGAGAATCATCCACAAGCACACTAATTGTTTTTTCCCCCGAGCACAACGTAGCTATTTCTAAGTCCCCAACTGCATGTCGGCTAGAGCTGCACTTTTTTTCCCTAGATGCCTCAATTTCTCATTTATTGATTCTTAGTTTCATCTACTCTTCTACCAACCACTCAGTATAGTATGATCCCTCTCAACTCTTTCATCACTTTCTGCTACCGCCATTGCCAGGACTTGAGCACCAACCTGTCGCCTCATTATTTCCCCAATTTCAATTACATGAGATTAAAAAAATAATAATAATAATCACAGGCCCCTCTGGGACTCCAGTGGTAATTCACCATCTCTTCCCTAACATTGATTCTGTCTTTTCCCTGGCTTCTTTCACCCATTATCAATCTATAAAATGACTCTTCCTCTTTTCTATGACAGTTTATGAAATATTTATGCAAGTTTATGAACTTTCAGTAATGGACTTCATAAAAAAGCTACCAGGACTCATTATTCAGTCATATTGTATTTTTTTTATTTTTTTTTTAAATTCCCATCTTTAAATTATTAATTCCAATATTTCAAATCTTATCTTCCCTCAATGATTTTAAGGTAAACAAGTCTTGTAAAACTCACTATCTATTGTTTTGTATTAAAATTTTTCTTTCCTTCACGAAAATTATCTCTAAAATAGTATTACATGAAGGCTGAATATATACCAGATTTACTGTGAGTAAAACTAAATAATCAAGCAAACGTGTCAGCAAAAAGAGGACAATCCTTGAACTGTTACCTCTTTACAGTCTTTTACAATTGGCTGCATCATGGTAAGGTCCTGATGACTGCCGCCCATAGCACTGCTTGTACTCTTGTTTCTCGTGTGGCCTTTCTTAAAAGGAGTTTTTCCACTAGGCTGAAACTCCTTAGTGGGAGATGTCGGTGAAGTAGACAGTACTAGTGTTTTCAATGCTGCTACTTCAGCCTGGAGGACATCAATCTGGAGCAGGGAGAAGGAAAGTCATTAACAAATAAAAAATATATTCGGCTATTAACACATTAAATTATTTAACAAAATTTCCATTTATCTCTGTCCAAATCAAGTTTTTATCTTCTATCAGATGCCTATGCAACTGCATACGGTAGTAACACTGTCTTCCTATACAACGTGCTACCTAACTGATATGATGCTGAAACATCAGCTGGATCCAAAAACATTCGCTAAGAATATGTCAAGGTGACACAAAACAACTTAATATTTACTTTAATAACGCATACAGGTTATTCTCTATTTACATCTTTGATTCACACTTTAGATTTATAACCACGTGAAAAAGATAAAGCAAGCAAACTGGAAAAAACTCACTTTTCCTTGTGCTTCTTTTAACTGTTTTTCTGCTGCAGCTTGTTTGACATTAGCTTCTTTAACCATTTTGTGTGCTTCCTACAAAGAATATTTAGCTAGTGTAAATGCACAAAATCCAGTAAAAAATTAAAACCTAAGGGCATACTTTTGCTTCACAGAGACTACTTGCAAACAGTAAGCTGTGCAACAGTCTGAAATTAAATAGTTACATACCAAAATGTGGCTACAAATCTATCATTTGGATTCATCACTGGCCCACCGAGTTTCTTCTCCTCTGGCAAATTCAGCAACCCCACCCACCTCCCTCCAGCAGGAACAATACCTGTCACCAACACCAGGCTCCGGTCACACTTCAGTGGCTGCCAAGTCAAGTTCCTTGACCCTCAAGAGAAAGACTCAACCAGTAGCAACAAAAGCAACCTGGGCACAGTAGGACATTCAAAAGAACTTCTCCCTCCTTCTAGCCAGAATAACCAGTTTTAGTCAACTGTAAATTTCTGTATGAAGGAACTGGTCAAACAACTATGAGGTCAAAATTCTTACCATCAATAAAACAGACAAAGCAACAGCTTAAAAATAGCTTGTGGAATAATAACATTTCTTAAGTAGAGAAAAAACAACCCAAGTAGGAAAACAAGGCTAAGCCAATAAAGAAGAAAGCATAAAAGGACTGGGGATTTTTTTAAACTTCCTTCTACCTCATATCTCTAAGCCTTTTGTCTACATAATGTATTTGTTTAGGCTCTGATCCAGCAATTTGCACCTATGATCAAATTACCCTTCTTACTTGGTACTTACTGAAGGCAACAAAGACTGCAAGATCGGGGCCACCGACTAAATTACTTGGGATAAGATCTTTCTCATATCTGTAAAGCGCCTAGCACGTATCTGGACGCTATATAAATAAAACAAAAAAGTTGATACATCATCATACCAAAAGATCTGGCTCCCACTGGCATACCACACAGCTGTGTAACATGGGTTTGTAAAATTCTCTTACGTAACAACAGACACATGCAGGAATGGGAACATACACATTTATACAATGTGTACAAATACATTTAACATTGACCATGCAGTTTCTGCTTAGTGATGCACCTTTGAAAGCAAAGCATGTCACAGTGCTCTTACAGTGTAATAATGTAATACATACACCCAGCTGTGCAAAACAAGTCTCCACCCTCCACTGGGATGCATTAACACAAGCTCTAGCATATCCACTTACACAGTCACGGAAATTAGTGGGATTCAGAATAGAATGTGAATTCTAGGGCTGCAGATCTCAGCACAAAAATCAAGAAACCTTAACAGTGTGGTTTTTTAAGGCCTCTTAATGAAATCTTATCATGAAAGAGAATTCAAGTGACATGCTCACAAAAGTTCCAAATAATTAAAACTCAAAACAATTATTACCAATGTGCTATATTTCAAACATTGCTTTAATAAATCAATAGACTGTTCTAAGTTATGAAGTGTCATCAATATAAAATTTCACTGATAATTTTATTTTTATTCCTCTACAGTTAAAATAACTGCCCAACACTTTCCTCCCCAGCAATCTGAACAAGTATATATGCTAAAAAGTACCTTTCCAGCCTCCCATTTATTCTCTACACACAGGAACTGCTTAATATTTTAAAGGAACTTTGCCCTACTGAGATGATGAAACAAAATGCAATCCCAACTCTGAGAGCAATTTGTAATTTGATTTCTGAATGTTGTTATTTTCAGGGTTTTAATAGCACTTTCACATCAATACAATATCATGAGTTTAAATACTGCTTCTAAAGCATTCCTAATGTTGTATCTTTATGCATATGCTGAAAAACAGCACTTAAGATTTGTCAAACATATAAACCAGCTCCACATTACAAAACGTATTCCGACAGTTATAGGTATCACAATTTACTGTCTAGGCATTCCTATATATACTCCTACGATAAAATGAGAACTGAACCCGCTTCAAGGATGGATTTAAGATTTTTTTTTCTGTGTAATACAAGCTCAGCATCTTTGCTGGCTCTACTGCCTTTTTTTTCAAATGAAAATTTCCCACTTCAAATTCAGGCTTCTCACTTGGTAACCGGGTTCCACCCTGGCGCGGCACTCAGAATTAATGTTTTTCGAGTTTGTGGGAGTACATTCTGCCAGACCCAAAATTCAAAAGCTGAAAGCATGGTTAAGTTATAGACTTGCTACCTCCATTGATCTGGAACTACGTTATTTTTTTATTTAGTCACTATGGCAACCCCAAATTTAGCTCTCATCTAGATAGCCTTGTTGTCAGACAGAAGTTCTCAAAATAGTTATGCCAAAAAATAAGCCTAAATAGTTTAAAGATTTCTGATATATTTTCCTTATTTTCTTCATTTTGTGTCTAGGCAGATTGACGAGCTCAACAAGGTCTCTTTCATCTAAACGAGAAGTCTACTGCTTGCTCTTAAGCCTCTAATTCATCACATTCTGGGTCTTCAGGACAGAAATCCCTTTATAAGCTTATTGCAGAAAAATTCAGCATATTCTACATAAAACATCTGTCTCAGCTTCCTTTAAGTATATCACATCGAAGACTCCAACAAACCTCAAACAGACTAGCTGTAAGTTCTTCCAATTCCTGTCCAAGTTGATCTCGCACTTTAGAAAGCCTTTCACATTCTTCATCTTTTAACTTCAGCTCCTATGGAAAATTGAAAGTTATTTATTCTGACTTAAGAGTAGTACTTTGGCCTTTTAAATCTAATACCAGAGAGGGGGGAAAAAAAGAAAAAAAAAATAATCAGAGGAACATAAAACCTTTGCTAAACAAAGCCTTTAAAATATTAATTTTAATACTAGAAGCAATTAATATTGTACACACATAGCTATTTCCTCCTGCTATACAGAAATATACCAGGCCAATCTAAAGTAATCTCTAAGCTAGACATCAGCATTTCCAAAATACTCTGAAGTAAAAAAAGCTCTTTTGCCTAAAAGTAAACAAGACTAAATTCACTTAAAAGATAGATCAAATTCAATATTGGGACAGACAGAATACCAGTTCTGTTTACTCATTCCTTTACAAACACTTAAAGAAAGTACTTCTTTAAAAAAAAAAAAAAAAAAAAAATCAAACCACCTTCATCTCAAGATAATCCTCAATTCTAAAATAATCTTAAAGCATATTTTACTAAAGATATTGTCTCCTGCATATCTCCTTAAAACTAACACAATTCCAAAATCATATTGTAACTATATCCTTGCTCTTGCTTATGCAGATACATACAATTAAATAAAGGCAATTTAATGACATTCTAAGTGTTATTTGTCTATGCCACTAAAAACTGAGTGAAGACCTGGCAATAGCACTTTTACAGTATTACTTTAACACAGATTTGCCAGTGAAAGGGTTGCAGAAGCCCAATTGCATCTGTACTGTCCCAAGTCTGAAGGAAAAGTGGGGTAATTTGCAGAGAAATACAGAAAGTTCAGCAAGCAGTTTGAAAGAAGAGTTCCTCACATTCCCCAACCATTAAACCCTGGTTTAATGCAAGAGAAGGGTGAAGAAAAAAAAGGCAAAGAAAGGCAGCAGACAGTCCATTCTGACCTTTCAAGCATTTATTTTGTGCCATAACTCTCCTCCCATCCCCATCTAGTTGTTCCTCCTCTTCCTCTTTTTTCCCTTGCCAAGGCAGCTATTGCACTACCATGGCTTCTGAAATGCAGGACCAAAGCCTGTCACTGACACATTAAAGACTCCAAAAATAATTGGCTTTGAAAAACCTTGTGCCCCTCTACTTGGCACTGGTGGGGCCACAGCTTGAGTACCATGTTCAGTTTTGGGCACTGCAGTACAGGAAAGACACTGAGGTGCTGGAGTGGGTCAAGAGAAGGGCAACGAAGCTGGTGAAGGGTTTGGAGAACAAGCCTTATGAGGAGCAGCTGAGGGAACTGTGAGTGTTTAGCCCGGAGAAGAAGAGGCTGAGGGGAGACCTTATTGCTCTCTACAACTACCTGAAAGGAAGCTGTAGTGAAGTGGGTGTTGGTATCTTCTCCAGAGTAACTAGGAACAGGACAAGAGGAAATGTCCTCAAGTTGCGCCAGCGGAGGTTTAGATTGGATATTAGCAAAAATTTCTTACTGAAAGAGTGGTGAAGCATTGGAACAGGCTGCTCAGAGAAGTGGTGGAGTCGCCACCCCTGGAGGCATTCAAAAAAAGTGGCACCTCAGGACACAGTTTAGTGGTCATGGTAGTGTTGGGTTGATGGTTGGACTTGATGATCTTAGAGGTCTTTTCCAACTTAATGATTCTAAGAAACCAGTAAAGAAAACAGCTGCCTTCAGAAAACTGGGAGGTCAGTCACTACAGACTCAGCAAATGGCAGCTTCCTTTGTGTTTCTGGGAGGCGGTTGGGATTTCCCTCAAAGCCTCATCACTGAGTAATGTTGTACGTAACAATGTGAGAATCTACATCTTGGCTTGCAGCATGCTATTAGCTCTTGCTCTCAACTTCTGCAGTGAAACTGGCAATAGATTTTCCTCTAAGATGAAGGGTCCTGTTTGACTTCAAGTTAAACAAATAACAAGTGTTTAAGGACTGTTCTAGACTCATTTAGTAGCAAAGGCATTATTTCTCCATTTTATTTGATTTTAATTTTGGACATTTTGACTATTTTGAATTATTTTCAGTCTAGTTTGTGTGCTATTTTGAGTTTTTACTTTCCATATGCAACCTTTTAATTATTTTGAAAGTACTACTTAAATGATGTTTTTTCCCAAGCATGATATTTCTCAGATAGTACTCAACTCTTACTCACTAACTACTATTCTATTCACTATTCCATCTCTCAAAAAAAAAAAAAAAAACCCACAACACCAAAAAAACCCCTACACAGGAATATAGCTACAATTGGAGGTAAGAGAAGGAAAAAGGAATAGAATAAAACAGAGAAAAAAATACTGGAAAAAACAGGAGGTAAAAAAAAAAAAGAAGCAAAATTTAATTAATTAGTTTGGGGTTGATTTAAAGTGCTTCCCCTACAAAGTATGGTTCTTAATAAAAAAATGAAAGATTCTGATGCAAAATGTTTAAAGCCCAAGTTTCACATGTTCCTATAAATGCAGAGAATACAGTAATAGATTTTGTTTGGGCTGTTTTCCTGATTTTAAGGAAAATGCTACACACACTTCAATATATCTTAAAAAGAGGTTATATTAATATTCAGGTTAAGAGTCATCAAACTCATTAAACGAAGGCAGAACTACCTCAGGTTCACTTTGGAACTACAACTATCAATCCATTATTTTAAATAAGATGGTTAAAATTTTTGCCTGCAACTGGAAAGATTAGAGGGTTTAAGATTAAAATTCAGGCAGACAAGTAAAGCTACTTAAGGAAAACAAAAAGCAGACAACACCAGGCTGCCTATTACGCATGGCTGCTTAGCTAGATTTGTCAAACACTGGGCAAGTTTCCATGACATGATTCAGGAGGAGCATAATATAACACATTATTTTGCCAAGCATGTTTAATAGTCTAAGCTTTTTTTTAAGCAGGGCAGAAATAAAGAGTGCCCAAGGCAAAAAGCTTAGCAGTTATTAGAAACATTACTACTGCCTGTGTCTTAGAGGCATTATTGGAGACTTCCCAGACATACACAATATAGAGGCGGAAAAGACAACTGCATATGCTAGACCAATCATCCTTGCTGCAGTCCTTCCCACAATACTGTGCTGATAAAGTAGCTACATGAAGCACATGAGCTATTAAAAAGGACAAATACACACAGTTACCAAAGCAGGTAGTGTAAAAATTCAAACTTGTGTGAAAAAAAAAAACTTTGAAGTTAAAAAAAAAAATTAAACAATCCTGTATCAGAGTCCCATTATTGCCGATTTCACTTTGATCTTCATAAATAGACTACGAGGTGGGTCTTTAGAAAGTACCAGTGAGATAAGGAGGGCAAATTACAGCTTCAAAACCATGCATATTTTAAATTCTAGAAAGAAAAATCATTCTGCATCTAGTTCAGCATTTTAACCAAGTCAGGACTAGATGTGGAAGACCATGGCAAGAATGAAGATTTTTCTACAGATATCACCTAAAATCAAAACTGTAGGATACCGCTGAACTCTGAAGTAGTCAAAAAAAAAAAAAAAGTTTGTGTTTATATTAGAATGCATTTCTATTTGACTGGTCTCTACTCAGCCCTCAAGTTAAACAAGCTACATAAAAATTAGTCCATTGCAACTACATTTGCAAGGTTGCTTATTGTGAGAGAAAGTCCAAAATATCTTATCAGAGATACGAGCATTTCACAAACTACTGAATTAGCACCTTATGGCGCAGGTAAAGATGCATGTAAGTCTTCTACTTGCCTGAGAAAATTTCTGTGCCTACGATACACTCACTACAACAGCAGAGACGTGGAAACTGAAAACTTTCAGCACTCAAAGATGGCAAGGAACTGCTAAAACACCTTCAGAAAACATTTTTAACAGTAACAAGCCAGTACCCTTACATTCAACTGCAATTTTGTTTTGAAAAATCTTGAAAGCATACTCTTCAGTGTAGCTCTGGGACAGTATATTATTCTGGAGCATCCTCATTTGTATTGTTTGTTAACTTATAAACAAACAACAACAGAAATTTTAAAATGCTGGATGTACTGTACAGTACTACTGGAATTCCTAGTTAGTTATTGTGAATCTATTTCTTCATTAATCCATGCAGATTTCTAAACTGTCATGTCTTGGTGTGAAAAAACAGAGATTTAACTGGCAGTGTAAGCCTGTGTGCAAACGCTGTAATAGTGGCAATAGCCTCTGATACATTGGATTCTTTGATACAGGCAGAACAATGGAAAAATCTACTTCAAACGCTCTATCGACACACAAGAGCTGAAGACAAGAGATGAAACTGTATTACTCAGTTTCTGAGATGAAGAATGCACACAGAAATTGAAGCTTTTGAAAGAAAAATGTAGATCTGAGGATCAGGTTCTTAAGCTACACTGAATTTAGGATACCACATTCTATACCATCATCTCTTCCAAAAGAATCACTGTTTCAGTCTGGAAAAACATCTCAATTTCACTCTATTAGGGAAGTACCAGTAATTCATTTTTCTACTACAAAAACTCAAATATAGTTTTACTTATTACCAGCAAGCCTGCAGATGTTACTCTAAAGACTGTGGGGAGCATGGAATTCATTCTCTAACCAAATATAGTATTTGCAACCAACATCTCTGGTAGACTGCTCTTTCCTCCTCAGAGGAGAGGGGCTGACCACCAGTGACAGTTGATCATTTCAACACTCCAGCAGAAAACAAACACCAACATAGAAACCTGCATTTCTCTCAGCAGTCACGGGTGATATCATATTGACAGTCTGACTGATAAGGAAATAACTTGAGGGCCAAAATCACACCAAAAAAAAAAATCATGGAAAACATGACTATTAACTGCCACAGCTCAAACTCCAAGCAAGCTACCCAAAATGCATGCATCATGCTGGTTAATTAAGATGAAAAGCAAAACAAGAGTTATTCCTTTGCAAAGACTCCACTAAACCTGCACATTGAGGAATATCATATATCAAAAGACCATTGCTTTTCTCTCAGGTGTTATCTATGGGTGGTTGGATCCACCTTCAGTAACCACGGTGACACAGTTTAATCCAAATATGGCAGAAAAAAATGCAAACGCATAGAGACATGAGGAGATAACATCCCAGGCATTGAATCACTAAGCCTTTTAACACCACCTCAATTTTCCTGATGCTGCTTTACATGGGTAGCAAAACAAGGAGAAAGGTTCAGATCACCTAAAGCAAGAGCTTTTCAGCTCCACTTTACAGAATATAGCTAGAAATTAAGTGATGAAAAAAACAAGCAAAAAGGTCCTGAATGGTTTCAACAAAAAGTGGCAATCCAGAAATTAAGTGATGAAAAAAACAAGCAAAAATGTCCTGGATGGTTTCAACAAAAAGTGGCAATCTATTAATTAAAGGGGGTATTATAAGGCAAAAGTATGTCCAATCTTATACTCTTCATTAAAATAGAATGCTGTCCTGCATTCTATTACCTCTGACCTGACCTTTCTCCCAATCTTATGACACAATTTGGTGACACAACCAATCTAGACTGAAGTAGAAAGTACATTTCCTCTCATCAAGAAACAAATTTTTCCAAGACACTTCTTTCGAACAATTTTGCCAGCAATGCTGTTCATTTTGTAAAGGAGGAAAAAAAAAAAAAAACCAACCACACACCTCTTTATTCTATTCCTGAATTTATTCAAGAATTTACTTAAATGTCTAACAATTACATGCTATACATATATTTCCTAGTATAAAACAAATGAATGCACATTAAAAAAAAATTTGCACTCCAAGGAGAGACATGAACAAAAATTACAAAGTGGATCCCTAAGCTTCAAAATTCCTATTTCCTCTCTAGTTCCCTTTCTATCAGAATTGCAACAAATTCAAATCAACCTTTAATGCATGTCACAATAGCATACAGTTTGGGCAAGAAATTTGGAACAACTGAAAAAATGCAAGACAGCAAATTTGTATTTACTTTGTTCACTCCTGGAAAGTCTGTAAGGGTTTTAGGCCCAGTGAGCTCACAAAATTACAGTGCAAATTGTAATTCTCCTTTTTCTCACTGTTCCTAATAAACAGCCCAGAGACTTATAGAGAATGTAAATCCATCATGTAAAAACCAACCAGCTATATACCAGCACTACATACTATATCCCTATAGATTTTTAAACCGCATACTCATTTACAAAAGTGATTATATTTGGAAATAAAAGTTTAAAGACTGCATGATATACTGAAAATCTCAGAGCCCTATCTGAACAGCCATGACTTTCAGAAGAAAGCAATCAGAGATGAATTAGAAATAGGAAAAACTAGTCCTCATACACCAAGTAGAAGAAAGATTATTACAGAAGGAATAGAGTTTATTGTTGTATAGTCTGTGAAGTCTCTTGCTATAACTCTTGTTACTGACCAATTGCGAAACAGTGCAAGTTTAGGAAGACAAGTAGACAAAAGTTATCCATCTAGTATGAACGCTGGTACAAATCAACCCAATGGGTTGAGAATAAGCAAAACTTTAACATCAACTGTCTCCAGTTAGTGATGAATCGCTTTTGTGAACGAGACCCAAAACACTGGAACCTGCAGCTAGTATGGGCTAGCAGTCTTCATGCCATTTCCTTAAGAAGACCTTAAATCTTGTGATGAAACAAAAAACATTTCAATCTTTTAGTGGTATAAACTCAAATAAGATTTTCAGATAATTCCAAGGGAACAATAGCAGATCTGAGTTGTGGTTTTCGAGAATGTTAGCTGCACTTTGGTACACTGTCAGGAGCTGGAAAATCTTTTCTAAAGTTTAAATTTTAGTTTGTTCTTAATTTCTAAGGTTCCAAAATTAACTGCTAAGATTATATATTCACATGCAAGGTCCTCAAATGTTGCTCAGGTTAATGTCTTCTTTTAGTGGTCAAACACTAAACAAATTAACACATTAGCAAAAGAAGCAACTATTTAGCAATAAAACAATCCACAGAAGTGATGTTAGAATCCATATTTAAGGTTCACATTAGCATGGACAAACGCAGCTATGACAGAAATGATGACTACATTCCATAAGATGAGGTAACAAACAGGAAAAGTAGTTCAAATGCAAGATAAGACGAGCTTAAATCTAACCAAGAATAGAATCATGTAGAGGGGAGGAAAGGGCACAAACAGCACAAAATCTACTCAAAAGTTTAAGCAGAGTGACATGAAAATGATAAATAATGGGTTTGCATTTATATAGCACTATTCATCCAAACAAGACAAAGCGCTTTACAAATATTAATGAACTGAGCCACAGTGTCTTCAAAGGTACCCATATTCAATTTGAAGTGTGGTGTAGCAGTACTCTAAAGAACACCTGTGACATCTTGATTGTTTCCTTCCTATGCAGGCTTTCCCCTATGAAACACCACAAGCACCCCGTTATAAAACATTTCTATATTCCATTACACTTGCTATTCTTTCACACTCGAGGAGAAAGAAGGCTCCAGAGGTATATAATCAGTGTCTATAAATACTTATACAGTAACAATGGGTTGACAGAAAATTACTCCTATTCTCAAATGTCTTAATGAAGGAATGGTCTACATTTCAAAGAAAAACTCTTAACCAGACACTGCACCAAAAGCTTTCCATGGTTAATTGGCAGCAGGAAAAAAAACAAACCAAAACACATTATCAAAGAATAATTCTAAGACATTAACACTTCATACATTCAGAAAACTCTACATAAAATAACTCTCTAAGAAATGAGCAGACTTAGGCTGCACCTTCTGACCCATTCTGCAATATTAGAACCACTGAAGAGAGAAAAAGCAGGAGACAAGACAATGAGCCTTACCCTCTGAGCTTTTGCAAGTTCTTCTTTCAATCGTTCATAGCCCTTTTCTCTTACTTCCAGTACAGATGGGCTCCGTAAGTGAGATAAACTGTCTGTACTCAACCCAAAAATATCTTCATTTCCTTCAGCAACATCTGCTACTGTAGCACCCTGCAAAAACTCTCTCTCTACGTTATTGCTCTCCTTCCTGGAATTACTGTGATTGAATGACCCACCCTGGGGTCCAGAGGTAGAACAAAGTACTGCGTCGGTAACATTGATGCTGTAAAGAGAGTGATATATTTTTTATTTATATAATACATTGCAAAGAAATATTTCAGAAATGGCATTAGTGGTGTTGAATGCATGGACATAGTTTAATACTATAACATTGTAAGTAATATTAAAATTATATCTTCAGTAAAGCAAACACTTAATACACAAGCATCAGCAATTTAAACAAAAAGACACGCAGAACTTACCTGACACCTGATACTTCTCCACAGTTCAGTTGTCTGGGAGATGAATAAACAGGTTGAGTGGGAAGATCGGAAACATTTAATGCATTGGGTTGGATTGGTGTGACGGACACAACAGAAGGATGTGGTCGGTAGATAACACTGGGCGAGGTAGTTTGTTCCTGAGTGCCTGGCTCATTTACTCCAAGAAGATCTGGTGTAGTAGGCGAAGCGAGGTTCACTTCATGAAAGCCTTCCAAGGGGTCACTGGCCATAATAAAAGCCTCATCATATGAAAGCCTGAATTAAATAATCACATTATCAGAATGCAAACAGAAAATACTGAATTCTATCTGATAACTGTTTGAATAAAAAAAGCTACACAAATACGTTCAAAATACTTCACGACATAATGGAAACTGTGAACTACTCCTGCAAAAGTATGAACGTCAACCACGGAAAGTGTTTTTTCCACACAGCGGAGTCAAGACCAGAATACCTAACAGCAGACCCCACATCTAAATGGGATGATGAAATCAAGAACACACCCTCTATCATAAAACAAAGTCACCTGCAATACAGCCTAGAGCTTCTTTGTATCAAAACACAAGTATGTTGCGCTCATGAAAGAGAAGATCTAAGAGCTAGTAAGAAAAAAATTTAAAACAAACTTTCCACTTTTAATCTCAGCAAAGCAAATACTCTAGACACAGAAATCAATGAATAAATTAGAGTCCATAGCAGTTAAATTAGACATCTGATCTCGTAACAGTTCACCAAAATGACAGAACTAGCCAATAAGACTTCTCACAAAGTATGATGATGTGTTTTTAATACATCATGTGATTAAGTGATGATGACAACTGTGAATAAGTATCATACCAATAATATATTACAGGTAAAACAGTACTATGAATTGTGACGTAACTGACAGTACTTTTTTTTCTCATTCCAGATGTATTTCATAAGATCAGTAGAAAAAAGTACAACACATGAATTGTACTAGTCCCAATGGAAAGCTATTTTGCAGCAGTTTAGCAGAGATCGCAAAAAACTCTGCATGATTCAAAACTATAAATTCCAAGCAGTATGGAGAAATTTGTGAACGAATTACTTAGCAGTGGTTATTCACTGTAAAAAAAAAAAAAAAAAAAAAAAACCAAAACAAAACAAACAAACAACCCCACAATATTTTCTCTCCTATATAAATAAAGAAGAGATAAAATTAAGGCTTCACAAAGATACTTAACATGCAAAAAAAAGAACTGTGGCATTTTACAGAGAAATCTCCTTGGATCTTGCCAGAAGAGATGAGGCAGAGAGAAGATCTAGAAAGATGATGGTCACAACCATGAAGAGATGATGCCATGTGCTTACATGTATGTTCAGTAGCACATGCAGCAATGTTTTTAGTTACAGCAATACTTTTTGCTCATCTTAAAAGAACACTGTTCAAAACTGTTTTGCATTTCAAATATCGTGCCAAAGTGTGAATATATCTATATTAAATAAGTGCTTTACCACACTGTTAGGCACACATGCAAGAAATTAATTTGTTCCAACAAGAATATGCTATTAATTTTTCTCCGTCTCTGTTAATTGCTCCCACAAAAAAAAAAAAAAAAAAAAGAAAAAAAACACAAAAACAAACCACCAGCTACCTCCAATAAACAGCCCAGGCTTAAGGGACAAAAAGAACCTTAGATGAATAAAAACAGACTTTTTTGCATTTTGGGTTTCTTCTCTGGTTTATGTAGAAATTTATCTTATCTTGAATAGCAACAGCAGTTGCACAAAAAATGATTTACACAGAGAAACACTGTCACAGTTTTGTGCTTTGGAGCCTTCCTACCATAAAAGAGTGAACAGTCCATTTTTGCCATTCCATATCTTTATGATAATTTACACAAATTCAGCCACATTATGAAGTGCAGAAACACACGCTGGCTCACACAGCGAAAAATTTCTAGAAAACTGCTCGTTATCTTCCAAATGTTCAAATGCATTTCTAGCTCCCCCTCTGCACTATCACATCAATCGATGTTAAGTAAAGTAGCACATCTGGCAAAAAAAAAATTTTAAAAAAATTTTAAATCTATCCTACCTACATGTTTCTACTTGTATGAGAAATGTTCCACTTCTTTCCCACAGCTGTTCCAGCTAACCTGCCTATCCCCTGCAGTGTTCATAATAGGAAAAAAAAATATGGGATTTTATTTACAAGACTATCACTCTGTTTATACATTAAATATTAATCTCAGCCTAAACAGACAGGAGACATTTATGAGTAAATAAATCATAGAATGGTTTGGGAATGGACCTTAAAGATCAGCTAGTTCCAACCCCCCTGCCATGGGCAGGAACACCTCCCACTAGACCAGGTTGCTCAAAGCCCCGTCCAACCTGGCCTTGAACACTGCCAAGGAGGGGGCATCCTTAACTTCTCTGGGCTACCTGTTCCAGTATCTCACCACACTTACAGTGAAGAATTTCTTCCTAATATCTAATCAAAATCTACATTCTTTCAATTTGAAACCATTACCCCTTGTCTTGACACTACCCTTCCTGATAAGGAATCCTTCCCCATGGATAGCAAGAAGTTACCCGGGCACAACTTCCAAGTTATCAAAAAACAACTTCTTTCTCATACAGCAAGTAAAAAAGTTACACAAGTTATTCCTGGAAGAGCTGAAAATAAAGTCCCTCAGCTAAACTTTTCCCATAGCCTGTCAAATGGGCACTCATAAGCACACCATCTGTGTAGAACACTTTCCATTCACAACTCTCTTCTTTCCTAGCATTACTTCTCACTTAGCAGGGAGCAGGCAGAAGCTGGGGGTACAACACCCATACAAGACCCAAAAACCTCATATTAAATATCTCCGGTTTGAGACTCACCAACACCATCATGTTGTTACCAACACATCAGCTGAACACACATTCCGCATTAACAAAACCAAACGTACATGCAAAAAAGCTAGGGGAGCTCTCTTTCAGGGAAAGAACTCTTCAAAGTAATGGTAAACAAAAGGGAGGGAGGGAAGCACATTAAATTTCAGTGTCACTAAAGATCACAAGCTTGGGGGAAAGCCTCATACTACTGACTAAGGCAGCAATGAGCAGCCTTGCTGTGAAGGAACACGAAGCACATGGTAAGCAGAGAGCTTTACTAGGAGCCAAGCTAACAGAGTGTTAAAAAAAAAATTAAAAAAAAAAATCAGTGTTGACACAGCACTCTTTAGTAGTAATTCTGCTACTGTGAACAAAAGCTGATATTCTGACATTTCAGGGCAGCACGCTTATTAAACAAAAGCATGAATTTTCTTAATACTCCTACCACACTGATACATGGTGAAAGCTTGGAACAGCGCATTAGTGCCTACCAAATATGTGATTAGTTTTGTCTTATTTTATAGTATGCAACTTGGATGATATGCAAAATTCAAGTACTGTAATAAATCACGATGAAACAACAAAATAAATTGATTTCATTATACTTCCATCTGTAAATAATGCAAATTTAGTGGAAGCTGTCAAAATGTTGCAGTGTATTACTTCTCCACTGCCACACTTGCACTGCTCACTACCCACTTAATTTCATGAGGAAGCTATGCTCAAATCCATTATCTAATACTAAATGAAAATGTGCTACACAGGAATAAGTTCAACAGTCAGTTTAACACGTTTCTATGGCTTCTAACAGGAATCAAGAACTGTGAACATTTTCAACAGCAGTCAAATCAAAATGCTTAATCTAATTTTCCTGTTATTACTCCAAGAGGAGTTCAACTACTTGTCTGAATCAAAGCAGTCAATAACTAAAAGGCTCCCTGAAAAGCAGTAATTTATTGTTTGTTTGCTTTTAAAAAACAAAAAAATAACCCCCCCACAAATATACATCATTGAAAAACACCTACTACAAACCCCAAACTTAGTCTTTCACAGATTGCTTTTAAGTAAAAGAATGGTTGACGATGACAACTTTAAATAATCTCCTAGTTGTTATATCTCGTTTAAAAACAATGCCAGCACCAAAGATTTAAGGCATCAAAAATCTCATTTTTAGCTTTACTGTTAAAGAGCATAACCATGACAGAACCGTTACATACTCAAGCAAAAAAAATCCCATACCGAAAAAGAAGTTTCTGCACATTTTGATGAAAATCAAATACTAGCTAGCAGTTACCAAAAAAAAAAAAGTGCCTAATAGCTAGAGTGTTTCAATCTTCATGCAGCAGGCTTTTCAAAATGTAATAAAGTCTGAAGGACTTCATTTATTAGACTCCAACACCTGCTCTAGTTAATTTGGAAGAGGATAGGGAAATGGATTTTTTGTAGGAGTCCCTCAAAAGGACTGGTATTAGCCCAGCACTGGACCTTCATTCTTCTCAGCTGGTTTATAAAAAACTGTTTTGAAATACTTGGCATTATACAGTCTGGAATGAAATACGTTTTAAGCTCTAAAGAACTCAGTATGGAATTAGAGTAGTGGACTAACAAATAACTCCTAAAGAAGCAGTGCAGTTAAGTACTGCTACTCCATATCTATACCTAACTTAAAAAGTAAAATTGTAAGGCTTATATGGACATTAATTTAAAGTTCAAAACTAATTCAATTACATCTGTCTAGTATGAGATATTCATCAGATGTTGGCACAGCACAAAGAAGTTTGGTGGAATTTTTTTTCCTAAACTGCTTTCTATCTAAGCTTAGCCACAGAACTCAAACAAGTCTGAACACCGTTATCAATGTCAGTCCATTGCACAAACACCACTCAGGATCTGGCATAAGAATTTCTTTAAGGTTTGCAAAATATTCCTACCTTTACAATTTAGCAATTATCATAGAAATTCCACTTCAGGAGTCCAAATATGCAACACATTTTTGGGGTCAGTAAGACACAAGGGAAAAGAAAGCACTATTCCTGTCTTTACATACTCTACTTTTATTTGCAAGTGACCTTACACTACATATTTACCAACAGACTGTAAATTAGACAAGATGGTTAACAGAAGGTAAATTGTATGTTAGGCAAGTTTCAAAATTTAAGACCTAGCAAAACCACACTTTGTTCAAAAAGAGAATATTCTTCTATTGCATTCCCATCTAGCACTGTCGTATAATGCTATGGTGTGGGTCTTTTTCTATTCCTTACTCTAATGTTAGGCATTCAAAACCACTATTTCACACTATTTTAAAAGAAACATGCAGTCCATTTGATGGCAAGATTCTATAAAGTTAAAAGAATTTTTGGTTTGCAGAACTGACGATTAAAAAAAAAAATCTCTTTATTATA